GTTTGAGGTGTGAGAATGTGCGGGACCTTTTGTTCTTGGCTGTCCTGGTCTGGAGTGGGGTCTTTGAGAAGGCAGGGAATGGAAAGAAAGCCTTGGGATGAGAAGGTTTCTGCATTTGCTGGGGGACTCTTGGAACTATTGCCAGGGACTTAAGGTAGTTCAGAATTTTCACCATGTCTTTTTTTTTTTTTTTTTTTTTCTTCGAGACAGGGTTTCTCTGTGAAGCTTTGTGCCTTTCCTGGATCTCGCTCTGTAGACCAGGCTGGCTTCAAACTCACAGAAATCCGCCTGGCTCTGCTTCCCGAGTGTTGGGATTAAAGGTGTGCGCCACCACCGCCCGGCTTCACCATGTCTTCTGGGGAACACATCTCTGGTGGATGATGATACAAGCTGTTAAGTCCCGCCAGCTCGTCTATTACATCTTCAGTTATCGTTTAAGTATTACCTTTAAAATGTTTAAAGTCACACTGGTTTGTTTTTTCCTGGAATGACTTCAAGTATTAGTTGAGTGTGCTTTGTCCTAAATGCTTGGTGCCACAGATGGTTTATTTTCTGTATTTTTAAAACGTATTTTCATACACATAATTCAAACCAAGTCTAATTACAAAATTCACTTTACTCTCATATAAACATTATAATCAGAGCCTGAATGATTTTAAACAAGAGTTTTATTAATTTTGTGCATCCCGAAAGCCACATGAGGTCAGGGATAGAATGTTTGGCTTGCAGTATCATGTTAGTATTTAAAAACTCAGACTTCTGAGCATTTCCAATTTCAGATCAATCTATGAAGGTGCTCAGGCTGATGCAGGTGTGAGAGCACCTGTAACAACCCTCTACTCCATCGCATCCCCTGGCGCCACTGTTTCCTAATTTTGGTTCTCTTTGCCTTCCTTGTAAAGCACTATGAAATTCCTTGTTACTATGCTTCCTGATTTTCTTTTTACTCTATGTTCTTCTTTAATTCAGTGGATTCTCACATTTGATCTTATTTTCCTGTCAACTATCATTCTTTGTATTACTCATTAATAGGGTTTTATTCAAATGCCTGCATCATAGTATTTGATTCATTTTATAGTGTTAGGGTTTTTTTCTGCTTCTGTTCTACATATCTACAACAAATATGACTGAAACTAATTTAAAATATCCCAATTGTAAAAAATTGCTAAAAACACTCTTCCAACTAAGAAAGTTGAGACATCCCTATTTGTAGATATTAATTCTATATGTAAGAGCCTCTAAAAATTCCACCAGAAAACAGAGCTCATAAACACTCTCAGCAGTGACAGGATATGATATCAACATATAAAAATCAATAGCGTTTGTAATGTACCAATGACAAACATACTAAAAAAGAAATAACCCCATTCACAATGAACTCAAAAAAAATTAAAACATCTTGGACTAAAGCTAACTAAGGAAATGAAAAAACAAACAAACAAACCTCTAAATCTAAAGTATAAAATACTGAAGAAAACACTAGCAGACTGAAAAGCCTCCCCATGTTCATGGATCAGAATAATTAATATTGTAAAAACAGCTGTCTTGCCGAAAGCAGTCTACAGATTAAATGTACTCTCCATCTACATTCCTGCACTATTTTTCATAGAAATAATGGGAGTGGGTCTTTAAATTAATATGGAAGATGAAATACTTGATACCCAAAGCAATCCTGAGCAAAAACAATGATACAGAGGGGAACCTCTGACTTTAAGCTATACTACTGAGCCATAGTAATAAAAGCAGCACGGCACTGGTACAGAGACAGACATGGACGTCAGTGGGATAGAACAGAGGACCCAGAGATGAGCCCACACAGCTACAGCCACTTAAGTTTGACAAATACACACTGGAGAACAGACAGCCTCTTCAACAAACGCTGCTGGGCAATCTGTACATCTACAAATAGAAGAATGAACCAAGATCTTTATCTTCACCTGCACAAACATGAGCTCCAAATGGAAAAACCTCAACGTCAGAGCCAGAACTCGGAAACTGTTAGAGGGAAAGCAGAGAAAACACTCAAAGGTACAGCACAGGTAAGCACTTTCTCAACAGGACTCCAGCCCCTCACAAAATAAGTGACACAATCATGAAATGAAAAAGTTCTCTGTCACAAGGACACAGTTGAGGGAGTGAAGAAATCCTCATGAGCTCTTCATCTTGTGGGGAGAATGTACAAAACACACAAAGGGCCTTATTAACAAAACGAGAAAGCAGATAATTCATTTTTTTAATGAGCTAAGAAGTTGAACACACAGTTCTGAAAAACAGAAATACAAATGGCTAACAAACATTTGAAAATGTGTTCAATATCCTTACCCATCAAATAAATGAAAACTAAAACTACTGTGGGGGTCCGTCTCACTCCAGCACGAATGTTTGTCACCAAGGAGACGGGACAACAGCGCTGGGGAGGGAGGATGGAGAGAGAGGGGGAACCTCAGTCAGCATCTGTGGGAATGCAGTCTGGGGCAGTCACTGGACAAGTCGGTGTGGAGGTTTCCACAAAACCTCAAAACAGGCCTTCCAAAGACCGAGGCCATGTCTACAGGACTCCATATCCCACCTAGAGCCTTGCACATCCATGTTCACTGCTGCTTTATTTACAAGAGCAAGGAGATGGAAACAGCCCTCAAGTGATGAATGGGCAGAGAAAGTGTGGTCATACATACCACAGAACTCTATGCAGCCACAAAGAAAACTGAAATTACGAAACAGCGTGAAAATGGATGGAGGAGGGAAATAATGCATTATGTGTGCTAACTTAGGGTCACAGAAGCAAAGTCAGCTTTTATTTTATGTATATGTGCATTTATGAAGAAGTAAGGAAACTACAGATTCTTTAAAAGAGCTAGTTGTGCAGCGGACCACATATGATGTAAAAGCAGGGGTAGAAACAGCAGGAGGGAGAAAGATTTAAGTGGGTGGGAGGAAGGAAGAGCGGGGAAGAGGAGGTGGGGAGGAAGGGTCAACCAACACTAATGAGGTCTGGAAAAGAGGAGGAGGACTTGTGATACTCCATAAGCTAATCTAAACATTTTCCTTTAAGTGTTTGAAATGAAAATGCCCTGTGTGGGTGGATAAATCAGCTCCCAGAAGCCACATGTTATTATAAACACAAATCCCAGTGCAAGGAATACTCTATGAGATCTTCAGTCGGGCAGTGAGGGCCCTAAAGCCCCAAACAATACAGGCAAATGCCATTCAACTGGTTCTTCTCCATATTCAGAGCAAGACCCGATTGCTGAAAAATGCCACATACATTGATCACAGGACACAGAGAAATGAAGCTGGAAATGGGCTAATGCGACCTCCCTGCTTGCTAGCTTCCCTAACACTGCAGGGTGCCACAGAGATTGCTAGGGGAGAATTGTCAACAGTCTTTGAGAGAGAGAGAGAGAGAGAGAGAGAGAGAGAGAGAGAGAGAGAGAGAGAGAGAGAGAGAGAGAGAGAGCGCACAACAATATCAACTGGCCAGGTAAGATGTGCCAACTAGTGCAATAGTGGAAAATCATTTATGGAGATTACCAACTGCTTTTCTGATTGGATGTGATGGCCAATTCACAGGAAGGAATGGGCATCTGATATGGTAAACTTGTCAAAAGCCCGTGGCTGGGAGGTCATAGGCTCTGGTGAGAAATCTACTGCTGTTGTATTACTAAATGGGTATGATGTGCCTTCAAAGTGTCTTCTAATTTAACTACATTCATGCAGCTGTCAGTGCTACTCAGAGAAGCTTCTTTTTCCAGGGAGCTATGGTGGATTGCAGGAACTCCTAATTGGTAATGTCTCTCAAATCTCCAGTTATAAATGAGACATCTATATTATCTCTCCAAGGCTCTGGAAATACAATGGAAGGAGCAGAAAAAATATAAGAGCAACAAGAAGGGACTGAGCAGTGTGGACCACGGCCTTCTGGAATGGCATGACTACTGTACTAACAGCAGCTACGACTGATTACCCGGGGAAGACTGGGCCTGTGGTGGAAAGGGCGAACCTTGTGGGACCTCAACCCCATGAGGATTTCTATGCACCTATAGTAGGTGGAGGAACGGGCTGTCCAGTGGTACAGGCACTGGAAAGGTAGCTACACTCTGTGAGCAAGCTCTCACCTGTGCTCCTATAGACAAGTTTTATATTCGGTCACATCAAAATAGAGACACCAAAGTACGAGGTGGCCAACTCAGAAAATGGAAAAGGATTAATGAGTGGGGTGAGACAAAATAAGGAAATGGAGTGAACCTGGTCAAAAAAAATATGTGCATGTATAAAAATGTCATAATGATATGCTAATAAAATATTTTCCAAAAGTGAAAGAAGCAGAAAGCATGTGGTCTTGCCTTCAAGAAAGAAGTCCATTGTCAAAAGCCTCAACTAGCCTGGTGGTGCACTGCAGTCCTAGCACCTACGAGGCTGAGGCGAGAGGACTCAAGTTCGAGGCCAGCCTGAGGTTGTCTCATAAAAACAAACCAAGAAAATCCAACAAAAAGATCAGACTCAAACTAACAACCAAGTAATACAGGACACGGCTCTGACAAGTGAGAAGAATAGAGAGGATGCTGGGATCAAGCCTGCCACTGTAGGAGAACCTCCGTGGGACTGGTCTAGAAGCAGGCAGGCTAAGGACAGAGTGGCTAATTTTGGACTCCTGACTGCCTGAGAATGCGTTTGTGTCACTTTAATTTGTGAATGAAGTTTTACAAGAAAGTAACCAATTTATTAGATTCATATCCTTCAATGTGGTAGTCCTAAGAAATGATCTACTTCCTTGATGGTAGTTTATTTTCTCCTCTAGAGTCAAAATAGTTTTAACACAGTGATTAAGATAAAATCACCATAACAAAGCCATTAAGATAAAAAGAAAATGGAAATATTTTTAGCTTCATGAGAAAAGCTGAGAATAATATACAGTTAAACTTACCTCATTTTAGTCTTAGAGCAGGCACATTATATACAAAAATGAGTTAATCACTTAAAATAATGTATGGATAACGTACCAAATCCAGGAACACTTTTGAGACTGGATTTGAGGCAAATTTTCTCCAATCTGAGGTAGCTGTATCTCATTAGACAATTCCACAGGAACATCCAGTCTACTCTTGTCCGATGGTTCATGATGATGACGCTCCTTTCTCCAGGTACAAACGCATCCCCTGTGATAACCACTTTTACACCAAACATGGTCTCCAACAACGCCTACCAAAATGAGAAATGCATACACAGAGCAACTTAGGATCTCCAGGTTAAGAAGCCAGAGGTGAGATTATTCTTAATCATGTTTATAAATTTATTAGATATTTATAATAGTCAAAAGAAATGAAAACAATATTTAAGAGTTAAGGATCTTTTTCATTCTTGCTAACCTTGTCATGATTATGCTATATTGCTTTTATAATACAAAAAAAAGATGACACTTAAAAACTAAATAAATGAAAAAAATTGTCTTTGGAAAAGCAAATCTGAATCCAAACTAAATGATTTAATTATTTTTTTAAATTACTGCAATTTTCCATAGATAAATTTTATCATGTTATATCCCATGATTTCTAACATATAAAACAAAGTTTTCCACATTCTTGCTTCTGTTATAAATGTGGGGAGGTGTTGATCAAGTATGAGAGAATGAAGTACCATATACATTCTTCCACGAATTTTAATTTCTGGAGGTTTCATAATAGAAAACCATGAACTACATTTCAAATCTTCAATTATATATTATTAAGTTAAAAGAAAGACAAAATAAGATTCTACTAGTACTTTTAAGGATATAAAGATTATTACATAATTTTTCTCAAAAGAATAATAAAAAATATACCACTATAGAACTGAAGAAACTAAACTTCATTTTTTTCTGTAAGATGATCTTTTGTTACTGAAAAAGAATACATAAAGACTAAAATAACTGTGTCTACTACAATCTTTCAGCCTACCACCTACGGCAAGTGTCTGGCACATGTGAATGCTCCAATGCTTGCTGAGTTTGTTAAACTAACATTTCTAAGGCCTATGGCTATAATCTAGACTAAATATTCAGAAGTGTATTACATCTAGAGTTCGTAAGAAGTGAGCTAGCACCTCCTCCTTTTCATTTTCCTTGTTTAGATTGTCCAGAATCTGCCTTCCAGCTCCTCTACCACAGTCTCCCAAGAAGCCAAGACAAAAGGGTGCATGACATTCCCAACTTGAGTCTCAATTTCAAGCTACTGTATGTAACATCCTACTTTAATTGATAACTAATCAAGAAAGGGTTGACGGAGAGGTTAAAAGCTAAGACGATCAAACCTCGCTAACACCCTAAAGTCATTCAACATGGACAGCAAAGAGCTCTGGGTATCTAAGGGAGCATGGAGCACAAACGTAACATACACACACACACACACATATTATTCATTAACATGTGGGTTTGTGTTTATTAACTTTTCGATGTTTTTTCTATTTGAAAATTAAAAGCTTTATGGGCTGGGCATGGTGGCACATGCCTTTAATCCCAGTACTTGTGAGGCACAGGTAAGTGGATCCCTGTTTCTGTGATACAATAATAGTAACAATCTACTTCTATTCCATAAGAAAGGAAAGAAGTTTTTCATTCAAGTGAAAAGTAGAAAAGACTAGGTGTGTAAACTTACAATTGAGGATATTTTAGGTTAAAGGGCTGTCACCTCCACAAGGTGGATACCCTTATCTGTCCTGTTCATCATTACATCAAGAACCTGGCTCCATTCTGCCTGTGTCCTCAGAACGTTAGTGAAGGGGAATTTAAAGATAATGGACTAATTTGTTTAGCAGAAGAAATTTGAAGACAAGAGACCATTTACTCTGTGGCATGGCTACTTTTTACTCTATTTACCCAGGTATATAGTTAAAAAGAGAAAAAGAGCTGGGCAGTGGTGGCACTCCCCTCAGAAGGTAGAGACAGGAGGATCTCTTTGAGTTTGAGGCCAGCCTGGTCTACAGAGATAGTTCCAGAACAGCCAGGACTGCACAGGGAAACCCCGTCTCTAAAAACAAAACAAACAAAAAGACAAAAAGAGAGTTTGTTGGGGGCGGGTGTGTGTGTGTGTGTGTGTGTGTGTGTGTGTGTGTGTGTGTGTGTGTGTGTGTAAACTTTACAGCAAAGAATAACCACGTGGCTCTGCGCTGGGACAACAGGAAATGTCCCTGAAGAGAAAGACTACCCAATAAGGGTTCCAATTTGTGAAGATGAAAACTTACTTGAAAAGAGAGATCCTGACTGGAAATGTAGCTGAAGGTGTTCCTAATGACAGAAAGCACCTGTCTGGGAAAGTGCTCCCCAGTGTCAGCCCACGGAAGCCGACAGCTGTGCTTCGAGGGGACCAGGCTATAGCTCACGCTAATAGAAGAATGTGACCACACTGCCAAGTTACTAGCTTTGCAGGCATGAGAGATCCAAGCTTGAAGAAGTCTGGAGTCCCCTTCCGAGAGCAGCTGAATGTGTGCAGGGGCAGACTCTCTGTAAGGAACTGCTGAGAGGACACGTCTAAGGCTCTGAAGGTGAAGCCTAAGTGTCTACAGAGACCCAGGATATTGAAGATGTCAGGGTCCTTTCTCCCTTAAGTGGTTTTTATCAGAGTATTTCATCACAGAATGAGAAAAGCACCTGGTACAGCAAGTGACTGGCAAGTGACTGAATCCCTAAAAGTTTCCACTTCCTTCTCTGTAAAAACGCTAACAATGGCGGCCCCGGAAACAAAGCCATCCTCCTTAAGCACTTTATGGGGTCACGTAAGTGGTCAACTGGTATTACTATTATCGCATCTAGATTCTTACACTGTTTCTCTTTTTAACAGAGCCTTCTAATTCTTTTTGTACTTGAGCTAAATACACAAGCACACCATGGTTACTTGTGTCCCAGGCCACTGGGAGCCTTCTCCTTGGGCCTGCAGAACAGACCACTTTAAGTGTGAGTGGAGAAAGGAGGTCAGAAGTGAGGAGGTTCATAAAACAGACACATCTGTACAGAAATCTTAGAACACAAGCAACTTTAAAAAGGGAAGAATAGCTTTTAGCAAGTGATGAATGAGTGAAAGTTTAAAAATCACTCACCATAGGACTCACTTTTAAATAAGGAAAGTATACCGTAAATGGTTTAACAGTCAATTATCAGGAAACTTTTAAGAAGTATCTGTCCTACCCCAAGCGCCATTTCAGTAACTACTGAGTCAACCTTCATCTGAAGGATCCACAGCAACTGCATGACACTTCCATCCTGTGGGCAGGCAGTCTGCCTGCTGCCTGATGGGAAATAAGCAGCTCAATGAAAGGGGGGGGGGGGGAGAACAGTTCCCTTCTTGTTTTCTTTGTCAGGTACTAAACTCATCATCTCTCTATCAAAACAGACTGGTACACCTTGAAACCTGAGGAGAAAAGAGGAATAGCTGTTGCTAGGAGAAAGAAGGACCAGAAGAGTCCCCAAGGGGCCATCCAAGGGGAAGACAAGGGCACAGTACCCACTGATGCACAGTCCCAGAGGAGGGGGAACCTGGACTGGACACCAACAGTCATCAGCTCAAGGTCGGAAGGAGATGTGCTCAGAGCAGTTATAGTGCCATGATCCCCAAGACTCTACTGAACACTGGATGGACTTTTATCTTACTCCTGCTAGTAACTCCATCTGCAGATGGAAATCACCTTTCCTTGATGTTTATGTTCCTAATTTTTGTCATTACTGGAAAGAAGTGAATCAATCACATCGCTGTCAGAAGTTTAAAAAGATGTTTCTTATTCATATTTTTACTTAAAATTTTTTCATGCGGCCTGGAGAGATGGCTCAATGGTTAAGAGCACTGGCTGTTCTTCCAGAGGACCTGAGTTCAATTCCCAGCAACCACATGGTGGCTCACAGCCATCTGTAATGAGATCTAGTGCCCTCTTCTAGCCTGCAGGCAGAACACTGTATACATAATAAATAAATCTTTAAAAAAAAAAAAAAAAAAAATTTTTTTCATGCAATATAATTTGACATTCTTTCCTCTTCCCCATGTGTCACTGGGGGAATCTTCATATGTGTCACTGCTTTGTAAAACACAACATGGGAACGGAGAATAAAATTCACTGATGGAAACATTCTTCAGTCTTTAAAATTTACCCTATTTTTCTAGATAAAAAGTATACCTTATATAAACTATAAAAGAAAATTCATAAAGAATTTAGAAAGAAGCTCTTTAAAATTTACATATTTTTCTAGATAAAAATTATACCTTACATTATATAAAATATAAAAGAAAATTCATGAAGAATTTAGAAAGAAGCTCTTAATTTTCTACAAGTTTTTTTTTTTTTTAATAAGGGTTTGCTTTAAGGGTATGAATGTTTGTATTTCTATTTTTCCTATTTCCCACTTCTTTTTAAAGTCAGATATGACTACTATAGAACACCAGGGACTTCTGTCTCCCTGAAAACCAAATCTTTGGGGCTAAAAAAGTACAAGAGATGGGCCCCCCAATACAAGCACACAGACCCTTCCCTGTATGGAACTTACCACAGGAAGCGTGAGCCACGTAGCCACAAGGCGGCTGCTGATCCAGCGATACCATGACAGGCTTATAAACATCAAAGGAATAATGGGACCCAGCATAAAAATACTTCCAAAAAAGCTTCCCGCAAACAGGAAGAGTATAAAATAAATCCCCTTCCATGACACCATGATTCTGAAACATAAAACAAAAACAAAGATTATGTTTTATTACTATGCATTTAGCTGTTCCAATTCCATCAAAATTATACATACAATAATCTTTAATGAGGCTACTGAACAACTCTGAGGAAGGCTAGAGAAGACTGAAGTCCCTGCTCTACAAGCCTAACAAGTTGCCAGTATGCTAGAAACTGATCCTCTCAAAAGAGTACATAAATGTCTGCCCTCCAGAAACACATGCTCTCTGGTGTGTAAGACGCCTTTTTAAGACTCAGCTGGCATTTACATAGGAGGGATCTTTTTCTTTCCTGGGTTACTACTCCAAGATTGTTTTCTACCTAGAAGCCAAAATAAGGCAGGAAGATGTGCACAAGAGCTTCCAAGGGGAGCACACCTAAATGCAACAGTGTCTCAGCAGGGCACACTAAAGCTAGAGAAAGGAATCTGGAAGGGGTCACTCTTCACAGGCACCCGAAAATCCCATCTCTGGGCAACTGGTCTTAGACTGCCTCTTTACGACCTTGCTGGGTAAGTCAGCTGACTTTATCCAGACATCTGCCGGAGTATTACCTTAAGGGGACTTGAAACCAAAACCTAACATGGATATTTTAAAACAAATGCCTGGAAACATTTTCCACTGTTATCCACTCGGACAGTAGCCTCATCAAAAACTCCTGCATGCTTCTTCCTTACCAACTGCTGATTTGATGTGATTCTAAGGAAAAACATATAATTAAATGGCCTAGCTATCATCAGATGAAATCTTTCCACTGTATAGCAATGAATCTGAGCCGCATGGAGACTAAAAGGGCTTTCCTAATTCAACACAAAGCATCCAGTCCTGCCTAGATCACCTTCCGATGCTTCATGCCACCTCCCTCCTGCCATTCAGCTGAGAATTAGACCAACATCAACCTTTAATCGTGTACTTAAATAAAGACAAACTTATATAAAGAGATCTATCACATGACTGCAATGGGATTCTATAGCTCCAATCTAAGCTAAAATTCTTTAATATTTATTTATATGAAACAATAAACATAAAGCAATCCCTACTGTGTGCCAGCCATGGTCCCTACCATTACCATTACCCAGACCATTACCAAAAGGTCTCACAAATCTAGGAATGGAACCCAGGGCCTCTTGCATGCAAAGCACAAGCCCTCCCCTCCTCCTGGTGATCTCATTTCTAACTTGGGTGCTCCTCTCTGGCTGCATTTCAAAGCCTTTTTCTCTGTCTTCATTCAAGTCCTAATTTGGGGGTCAACTAGGTTACGAATAGCTGCATACTTATTCGGAATAGTTAAATATTGAAGAAAAAGGACAATGTCAAGAACTGACACAGATGTGCAGCAATCTGAACTAACACTCATTGCTGGTGGAAACTCAAAATTATTCAGAACTCTGGGAAACAGCTTGGCAGTTTTATAAAATACTACATTGATACTCACTATCTATACTAGTAAATCCACTGGCTGTCCAGTACAAATAAATATTATCTTCATACAAAAGGTTCTACACAATCCTTTATTGCACCATTTCTCATAATTGCATAAAACTAGAACTACCCTGTCAGTCAAGGGTGAGTAGATACTGAATTAGTACTCGTCAATGAAGATATACGCCTAAAGCAGGTCTCTTGAGTTATTCTCAAATGCACTGTGCTACAGGAAAGATGCCAGGCTCAAAAGACATTTCTTTTAGGGGACATTCTGGGCGAGGCCAACCCACAGGAGGGGAAACAGATCAGTGGTTGGCAAAGGTCAGGGCGAAGAGACTGAGCACTGAAGGAGAGCACCGGGAAGCCTGCTAGATGAGCAAACTGCTGTTTCCTGACTGCACAGTGCAGGATGGTGGAAACACATCCACTGGTTTCCTTCCCTTCCTCCTGTGGAGCTCAGCACTGAACCCAGACTTCGTGCATACCTAGTAGAGCTCTGCCACTGAGCAACATGCCCAGCTCGCCTGGGTACTGTAAACTGTGATCCTGCCTGTCATCTAGCCCTTGGGAGGCAGGGATCAGGAGTGTAAAGCTCCAGAGTGAATGTGAAGCCAGCCTGAGCTACATAGTGATACTCTGTTTCACAAATACAAACTCTTAAAATGACTGAAATAAAAGCTGTGTTCTCGTGAAATCCTATACTTCAAATTATTACAGTAACAATGATCTAAAATGTTTTTCTAAGCTTTTTTAATATGCCAGATATTGTTTCATGTACTTGGTTTGAAGAGACTTGAACAATCACAATAATCTCATGGCGTGGGCATTTTTATTACCCCTGTTCTAGACATCAGGATTCTGTGGCACAAAAAGGTTAATGTGCTCAAGGTTAAACAGCTACTAAATAGCAAAGCTGAGAACTGGCTCTGGGGATTTTGGTGTCCGTGTCTATACTGGATCTGCTGTGTTATACATTTTTCAAGACTATTATTTTTGTAATTAAACTCACATACTTTAAAAGAATTATACTATAAAGACATAATTGGAAACCAAATTTTAATACTTTTTTTTAAAATATTCTGAATTTTAGAGGTTCACAGGAGCTAAATGAGAAAGGCTCATTAAGCCTCTCTTCACTTAATATCCTTTAGTTCACACACACAAGCGATACGGGTTAACCTGGGATTCCGGTTATAGCAGTTATCATGAAACAATCGGTCAGGGGCTTCACTAAGGTACTGAAGAAGGCGTCTTCCTGGAGGAAGTGATGGAGGGAGCAGAGAGAATTCAGGCAGAAAAACAACATACAGGTTCTTAGAAATTAGAAACAGCAAGCTGTAGAGACTTAGAAACTGCTGACGTAGAAGAGAACAACAAGGTTCAGAATGTTGGTATGCAAGAACTCCTAAGAGCACTGGCCCTAGGGAGAAAGCTGCTCCCAAGTCAGGATGGGGAAAAACAGCACCCCATCTTGGCACACAGAGTGGAAAACAATCTAAGGCTTAGGCCTCATCTTTTGAGGTAAGTGTCAGAAGTGACACAAGCATGGACACCCTGGCTTTGTTAAGAGTCTTCTCTGGCTGGATGGTGGTGGCGCATGCCTTTAATCTCAGCACTTGGGAAGCAGAATTCGGGGGATGGATCTCTGTCAGTTTGAGGCCAGCCTGGACCACACAGAGCAAGTTCCAGGACAGGCTCCAAAGCTGCACAGAGAAACCCTGTCTCAAAACAAAACAAAACAAAAAACAAACAAAAAACAAAAAAAAAGAGCATTCTTTGGACTTTGCAATAGATAACTCGTAAGATATACTGGCAAAAATTACAGAACTGAGAAATGCCACTACCAAAGAGGTCTTCAAGGCAGGACAGGCACAAACCACACCATTTGACAACCAACTGATCATGAGCACACTTCCTTACCTGGGCACCTCAGCTGTAACATGAGGAGGCTTAGGGCAGATCCCCTCTAAGACCTCTGCTAGTCTGAATATAGGCTTCCTTTTCTTCATCAGATACTTTATACAGGGCTCATGGTATTTACCTACTTATCATCTAAAGGTTTGCCTTGCTTGCCAGCACAGATGTGTCATCCCAGCTACCACTCACAGAACCAGGGAGATCCAGGTTCAAGGCCTGCCTGGCTACAGTGAATGTACCAGCACCTGAGTGACTTTCACGGACCCTGCTCAGTGGCAGAACATTTGCAAGGTAGTGGGTCTAGTCCCCAGCACTGCAAATGAAGTCCACAGACTTCACATTGTATATACAACCCAAAAATCTATCACATGGAAGAAATCTGTAATCTTGCTCAAATTCAAAGTTGAATTTTAAATACTACAGTAAGTCTGCAAAAGCAACTCACGATATGAAAACATCATACTGAAACCATTACTTTGTATACTAACTTTAAAAAATGAAAAATAACAAAAGGCATTTTAGTAACAATGGCTCTAGCCAACTGGCTAGCACCCACTCAAAGGACCTTTACTCTAGTCTACGTCACATTCTCTTCTGGGTATGCACTATGCTACAGTGGATTTGTACATCTGAGGATTAAATAAAAGGACTTTCCTGTATCGCCTGACAATGCCATGTGTCCTAAAATAAACACTTAACATTTCCATCCAATCCAAACAAAAGCCTCAAATGTGTACTGATTGATTGATTGATTGTGTGTGTGTGTGTGTGTGTGTGTGTGTGTGTGTGTGTGTGTGTGTGTACAATTTCTACAAATATTATTAGGTGAATTTTTACAAGTCTGATGGGAAGACATGGCATAATAAACCCAAGATCACTCCACAGAGACTGACTAGAAATGCAGACAAACCCTCATGCCAGTCCCCTGTCCCTTCAGCTCCTCAAAGACTCCTCCTGACCAACCCAACAAGAACAAAGAGACCCCTGCTGCCTCGCAGGTCAGGCTTTTGAGGAGAAAAGAGCAGATTCTAGGGTAGAACAACACAGAGCTAGTGAAAATCAGGTTGTAAACTACATGATTACCATTTTCTAATGACAGTTGATTTGTATATACTTTTGTTTTTTGGGATATATGCAGTAAATCTTTCTCTCTATTCCTGTTACCTATATCCTTTTTGATAAGCAAGTTATCTTACTGTTTTGTTTTAAGGTGGTGAGGATCAAGTCTAGGGCCTCTCACATGCTACATAAGCACTCTACCACTGAACTACACTCCTGTTAATTTTGATTAAAATTCAATGTGTCAGAAAAGAAAGCACCTCCTGTAGATCCTTATCTTTATCCCTATAGGTCAGTGTACACCTCAACTCTCAGAGAAGTTTCTTATTGCAGTAGATGGTGACCGAGACAAGAGACACACAACTTAAGAGACAATGGAAGACTCTGCTCTACACTGCTGAACAAAACATCTTTCTGAGCCCCAAATGGAAGGCCCAAGTGAGTCGGGCACCAATTCTAGTTTGAACTTGGCTTCTTGACCACAGGATAATACAAGCGTTGCTGTCCTTTCCACACCTGGTTTCCAGATCAGATGACACTCATATTTTATCTGTCTCGGGCATCTCTTCTGACACACTCCTGTGAGGTGGAAGGCA